TGTGTCTTGGCTTGAGTTCGGATACTTGCAACAATTTTGTATTCTGGAATCACATCTTCGAGTTTCGGCTGATATCTGTCTCATTGCTTTGCTGTTCGAGTGTGGTATGGATTTCGAGTCTTTGCATAATTGCAATTTCAGAGTCTGAGTTGAGTCGGATCATTGCAAATAAAATGAATGTCTGACTTAGTTTGAGCTTTGACAAACGTGGTTATTAAACTTACTTTGAATTTTGCGTAGAGTTCAAGCACTTTGCAATCAGACTCGCTTTCTTTTCCCACTTCACATTCATGCAAACAGACGACATGTCACACTGGCGCTCAGCGCCCATTCAAGCTCAGGGATACGGTAACCAAGAACACCGTTCAGATACAAGCTCGCTTCAGATGGCTATGGCGCATCAGCGCCTGTACAACTCTCTGTTCGTCACTGGGCTCAACTCTGCTGTTCACACACACTCAACTAAGGATCACCCTGGATATCCCACACGCGACACACGGTCTCACACACACGCACACACCACACTCGCCTACCACCTACGGCGGCCATGGCCGCTCAGCCCTGCTGGCTATGGCTACTCAACCTCTACTCTGCCCACTTCGTCTTCGGGTGCTCTGCAGACCACCTCGCACAAGTCGCTCAAGCAGCGCTTCCGCATGGCTTACGCAGGAATGAATCCCATGGCTGGGCGCTGCCTCTTGATTTATACTTCTGTAGCTCGTTGGTCTGCCCCTCTCCCATGCCCCTGGTGCACACAGTCCCACACGGTACTTGCTTGACTGGACTGTGACTGACTGGGACCGGTGCCGCTGACTGCATGGGTTTGCACTGCCAACTCAATGCAGCCGCACTGCCGACGTACCGCAGTTGGGCTCACCACTTGCCCACTTGCCTCTGTCTAAACGTGAGCAATACTTCGAAAGGCCACCACTCGGACCTTCCGGAAGGCTGCAGACTTGGCCTTTCGAACACTGTAGCAGCTACAACCTTGACCTTTCAGGACTGTGGCAGCTACAACCTTGACTTCTCAGGACACCTACAGCTACGACCTCTAGGCCTCACTAAGACCTCTATCCAATAGGTCTACAGATCGAACTATGGACCTACGACAGCCTACCAACTGTTGTGAATACACAGGTCACGGGTTCAACTCTCGGGTCCACACAGATACTGTACACAGGCAAGGTAAGAACTAGGGATCGAACCCTGGGATCTGTATTCGCTACTGCTAACAGGTGAATACCGTTTCACTCCTGCCGGCCTAAATTTGAGGCCCTTCGAGAATAATTCAGTCCAAGACCGGATTTTTACCTTTCTTCTCTCTCTCGTAGGCTCTAACTACGTCGGGGGCTGTTTCCAGAAGTTCGGTCCTAGTAAACCAGCGGTCGTCCTCGGGTTCCTGATAAGCAAATCGGACCTTATACTACTTCTGTGGACGACCTCTACCTCCTGTTCTGAATACGTCTTCGCCTACAATGCCCTCAATGCCATACCTTCCATCCATGTCCAGAGGGATCATGGATCTTCTTGATGGAAACTGTTGGCTTGTGACACACGGCAGCAACTTTGACGCATGAAACACAGGGCAGGTGTGGAGGTGTGCTGGGATTTCGATCGTGTGGGACGGCCCATCCTCTCCGCCCTTAACTTCTAGAACTGGCCACGGTCCTCTGTATGTGGGCAGTAGCTTCTGCGAAATGTTCTCCTCAGGAGGAAATTCTTTGGACTTGACCCAGACAAGGTCGCCTACTTGGAACTGTGACGGGCGACGTTGCTTAGTAGCCTGTTCTATCATTCTGTGCTAGGCCTTCCTGAGGTTCTCAATGACGGTAGCTAACTCCTCGTGCTGCATCACAAACTCCCTACTACTGGGCAGTAGCCTATGAATCTGATCCCGGCTAAGTCCTTCAAACGGTCTGCGTGGTCTAAAGGACTTGTGCAACTCATTGGGAGTACCACATGTGGCTAAATGCACGTTATTGTTATATGCACTGGCTACCTTGGGCAGCATCTCATCCCAGTTGATCTGGTCCGATCTAATATACATGCGCAGAACTTGTTGCAGGATTTTGTTCATTTGCTCAGTCTGACCGTTGGTCTTTGGATGACGGCCAGATGACATTAGCAACTTTGACCCATAGACTTTCATCAATTCCTGCCAGTTCTGACTAGTGAACCGGGTGTCTCTATCGCTAATTATAGACAGTGGAATCCCGTGATCACTCACCCAATGGTCAAAAAACTTCTGGATCACTCACCCAGTACGTGCCTCTGCAGGCGAAGGAACGAAAACTGCGTATTTACTAAACCTATCGACTATAACCATGACTTGGCTCTTTCCATGTCTGCTTTTAACACTAGCATCCATGAAGTCAATGGAGCCTGAATCTCCAGGCTGGTCAGGAATAGGCAAGGGTCAAAGAAGTCCTAGAGGGGTGTGCGTAGTTGTCTTATTTCTCTGACAGACTTTGCAACTGCGAACATACTCTATGCAATCGGCCTTCATTCCTGGCCAAGTGTACGCCTGCATTAGGTTGGCTGAAGTCTTTTGCCAACCGAAATGTCCCTCTGTGTCGTGGCATTTCCCTAGGATCAAACTACGGATCTCCTCACTGTTAGGAACGGACAGACGGTCTACTACGTTGGTCTTCTCGAATAGTAATCCCTCTGTAGTGCGGTAATGCGGTTCAGTCTCTAGGGCCTCCTTGACT